TTTTTTCTTCTTTTGTTTTTTTTTATCCCTTGCCCATTTCTATGATATTGACTACATCTGATTAGTAGACAATGTGCGTATGAGAGAGCCCAATAATGTATAACGTACACAATTGTTATGACATATAACTGTTACATATAGATGTTTAAGATAATTATAGATGTTTGTGAAGGATCTGAGAGCAATGATGACTTTAGAAATGACGGTAATGGTGGTGATAAGTGATGATGTGGGATGGTGCTTGTGTTTATAATTATTAAGAAGACATACTTCTGTTATTTGGTTGTTGTTGTTTTTTAAAATAATGTTAGCGTTAGTCCCATCTTCCTCTGCTCTGATGAGTTGCGAGGGATGTAGGCACCCGCTATCGCGTTCCCTACTGGAACCATCTTTAATGTCATCGTGAAGTTCCGAAATGGTGGGCACCTTGTTAGTATTAGCCTATTCTAGCGGGCCAAGACAAAGTGAAGAGAGGATCTTAGTAGGTAGCTAGTACAGTGGCAGATATTTTTTTTTTTTTTTTTTTTTTTTTTGGGGGGGGGGGTTCGTAATGGGTTTGCAGGTAGCAAGTTCACAATTGGGTTATAGACTTAATGCTTATTTAAATATGAAGTTGCGGAGATTCCGACACAGGTTCCTCGAACCCGAGTCGAGAAGGAACAATTTACACATAATATTGTATCCACTCGCCTCAGGTGGAGCGGGCATTGTTTTGTCCTTATATAGCATGATAGTGTGCAGGACTCTTTTCCTCGCTCTTTTTGAGGACAGTCAGACGGTCAGACAAAATGACAGGCAGACAAATAACAAGGTGAACAAACCTCAAAAGAAAAGTATAAAAACCAGCACAAATGAAAATAGAATGATTGAAAGAGAAATGTGGTCATCAAGAAGAGCCAGAGACAGACAGACAGACAGACAGAAAGACAGACAGACAGACAGACAGACAGACAGACAGACAGACAGACAGACAGACAGACTGACAGACAGTGAGAGAAAGGAGAGAGAGATAGGAGAAAAAAGAAAGAGAGAGAGAGAGAGAGAGAGAGAGAGAGAGAGAGAGAGAGAGAGAGAGGGGCAGAGAGAGAGACAGAGAGAGAGACAGAGAGAGAGGGGAGGGAGATTGTAATTGCTATTGTTTCAGGAAGCAACCTTCCTGCACTCCGGAGACGCCCATTGATGTTCTGTTGCCCACACCAAAATGTTGCTGTGGGTGCCAGTTCATATCTGGTTGAACATTCTTCTGTTCTTTCCTGCAAGGATGCCATATTTTCCTCTTTTTTTTTGTATTCCCAAAGCCATCATCTTCTCCACGGCAGTACTGGCCTCTGCCTCCCTATCTTCCTCTTCAATCAGAAAGAAAGAGAGAGAGAGAGAGAGAGAGAGAGAGAGACAGAGAGAGAGAGAGAGACAGAGAGTGAGAGAGAGAGAGACAGAGAGTGAGAGAGACAAAGGGAGAACGAAAATGCTTCGCGTCTTCTTTATGTGATTTTTCGTTGAGGTCCATTGAGGGTATATACGTATGCTTTGCAAAAGAGGGAGCTGGGGACAGGACGGGAGTGGGTGGGGGTGTTCATGTGTGGATGCACACGTCATGTTCACTCATGGATAACATTGATTTGAAACAGAATTAGTACGTAATTTTGATTCAAATTTAGAAGACTGATTGAGCTAGCTAAACATTATCCAAATTACGAAACTCAGATGTATTAACTTCGGCAGCAGCTCTATGGTCGTTAAGTTGACCGTACAATATCCCTGCAGGTTTTTGCTATATATTTACACGAATTACATCATCAAACGAAAAAAAATGAAGCAGCGCCACATAAAAGGAAAGAGGAAACTTTGCTTTGACTTTGAAGGTCGCGTTAAAATCGATTTTCATGGAGAGCGACTGTTCTGATCAATAGAGTGCATGGCGTGACGTCGGGTCCTATATAACTAGATCAAACACCTTGAACAAATTTCATGTCTCTGATGGATTTACGAAATTAAAAAATAAGTTAACCATTTTTCTAAAACTCGCTGGGCGTACCCTCACTCTCTCTGTCTCTCTCTGTCTCTCTCTTTCTCTCCCTCCCCCTCTCTCTCTCTCTCTCTCTCTCTCTCTCTCTCTCTCTCTCTCTCTCTCTCTCTCTCTCTCTCTCTCTCTCTCTCTCTCTCTCTCTGTCTTGGTTGCTCTTCGTCGCGCTCTGTGAGGATGAGCATCCGTGTATGATAATCAAACTACGACTTCTTCTGCTTTCTAGGTGACGGCCTGATTCTACACCACTGACACTTTTTTTTCTTTAGTTTTAGGGTTTTACGACGCTCGCAACTGCATAAGTTCATATTATGAGATCGGAGCGAACCAATAACAGTTATTTCCGTGTGTTGAATATGGCCCGGGTGGCCTGCGACGCCTGACTCTTATTGATATTAGATCTCCAGGGAATATCTATAGAGCGCAACTTGCTCCTGCTTTTCTCCGAGATGTTACCGCCCTTGTCCTAGAACGCTA